TGGAAAAAATGTTTATTAGAAGAAAGAATCAATCAGGAATACTAGAGATGACTGATAATGACCCGAAGTCCTCAATGTGAAAGGCACAGGGAGAGTAAGTATTCGCTTGATAAACGTGGCCTATGCCAGTCATCCTCAGGATGGACGCCTCACATGGCCTGGTGGCCTTGTCCACTGGCAGGGTGCACTGTCTCTCCTTCGCCACTAGGAGGCACTGGAAGGACAGCTCACTCACTGCTGTCTGCCCCCAGGGAAGGGCTGTCAGGAGGGGTTGGGAGAGGGCAGCTGCTGCAGATGGTGTGGAGCATCCCGGTTCCTTCCGGGAGAGGCCGGAGTGCCAGGCTAATGACAGTAATAACTCGAGGAAGGAGGGGAGCGCCTGCAGGGGCCAGGGCAGAGGACAGGGCGGGTGGGCAGACGGAAAGCCAGGGGAGGTCAGTGGACAGGACGCAGCGCTGACATCTCCTGTGAGCCACGGAACTGCGCTAGAGTCAGGATCCAGGGTGAGCAAGACAAATGGCATCTCTGCTCTCACGTGTGTGGGGGGCAGACATTGAACAGCAGACAGATTGTTCCAGAAAGTGATGAGTCCAAAAGACAAGGAAACCTGCGATGAAAGCGGGTGGGGGCACTTTGGATTCTGAGTAGAGATCTTAATGATCAGAAGGTCATAGGATGGGAGAGGAGGGTGGCAAAGCATTCTGGGGAGAGAGAACCAAATTGCAGGAATGCTGAGAAGGGTTTCTGATGTTCTCGGGCAGCAACAAGTCTGACTTGGCAGGAGCACTGTGTACGAAGAGGGGCATAAACTGGTGGGCCTGGTAAAGGACACAGCCAGTCTGAGTTTGGGGGTTCCGGGGGGCCTCCTGGAACCACTCCAAAGGACAGTGAAGTCCAGCTTACTGAGCTGGGTACTTCATGGGCAGGATTGGGGGGTTGGTGGGAGGGGCTCAGGTTGGGTGGTTGTGAGATTGGGAGAGCAAGATCGGCTGAGGGCTTGGCCATAGCAACGGAACTGTGACCTGGCAGGTGGGCTGGGTGCCTTGTGCTAGTGGAGTAGGCTCTGTTCCCAGGCTCAGCTGGGGCTGCGGGAGGTAGGAACGGCTGTGATTGTTCTCAGAGCTCGGGAACTCAGGCAGCTGGGGAAGGGGGGCAGGCAGGGGTCAGACCTATCACTTCTCCTTACAAGGACTTCAGATTTATTCCAAGTACGATAAGAAGACACTTGAAGCCGGCCGATGGGGTGCACGCTTGTAATGCCAGCTACTCAAGAAGCTGAAGTGGGAGGATCGCATGGACAAGTTTGAGCCCAGCCTGGGCAACACAGCAAGACTCTGGCATAAAATAAAAAATAAAAAGGGCTGAGGGTGTAGCTCAGTGGTAGAGCACCCCTGGGTTTGACCCCCCCACACACACACACACTGCAAAAAGGAAAGCAAAAAAGAAAACCTTGTTAGATATGTGACACATGTTAGATATTTAACATGCTCCTGATACTATGAAGACTAATGTGTAAGGGCAAGGACAGAAGTGAGGGACCAGCTAGGAAGCCACTGTGATATTCTCCATGACAGAAGATGGCTTGGATCAGGACTGTAACAACAAAGATGAAGAGAAGGAGATGGAGTCAGGACAGTGTTGGATGCAGACCTCACAGGAATTGTTGGTTCATTCGACACAGGAAGCAAATCAGTGAAAGGAAACCATTCTCCATTTTTAGCCTGAACAAGGAGGAGCTGTCCCAGCCCAGGAAGAGGACGCTGGGAGAGCAATGGATTGGGGGGTGGCGGGTGCAAGACATCCATTTCAGTCACATTGGCTTCCCGTGGCCATTAGACAACCAAGTGGAGCTGTCACACAGGCTGTGGATAAATGAGTCTCGCGCTCTGGACACAAATTTAGGACTCACTGACATTTACATAGTATTTAAGCCCTGGGACCGGATGAGATCACAGGACAGGGAAATGGAAAGAGAAGGCCAAGGACTGAGCCCTAGGAGGCTCCAACATTTAGAGGTCAGAGCTGAGGCAGACTAGGGAAGGACAGAGAGTGGGGCTGATGAGAAGGTAGAGGAGCATAGAGCCCTAAGGTGCAATGATGAAAACAGGGTAATGTGAGAGAGGAGGATAGGATGGGAGTAGGAGCAGGGGATTCTACTTTTAGAGAGATTCAGAAAGGCTTCCCAGAAGACAAAAGAGACTGGGGCGAAAAGGGTGAGCCACTGTGAAAAGCCTGGGACAATCATTACAGAAAGAGGAGACAGACGGTAGCAAGGGGTGCCCTGGCACTGCGTATGAATTTTATTCGGCAGGTTGCTTTTGTCCAGAAAATTCCTTGGACTGCAACAGCCAATGAGCTGAGAAAACACTTTGCTCAGTTTGGCCATATACGAAAGTGCATTCTTCCTTTTGATAAAGAGACTGGCTTTCATAAACGTATGTGCTGGATTTACTTTTCTTCAGAAGAAGCACTTCAGAGTGCAGTGCAACATGAAAATCACGTAATTGATGGAGTAAAGGTCCACATTCAAGTTCAAAAACCAAAAATTTTGCAAGGGGATCAAACATCTGATGAAAAGAAAGATTTCTGAGATGATTAAGCCCATTAAATAAAAAAAAAACCATTAAATAAACACAAAAAAATAAAAAAGAAAGAAAGAGGAGACAGGGCCGGGGATTTAGCTCAGTTGTTCCGCTATCTACCTTGCAAGCACAAGGTCTTGAGTTCGATCCCTGGTACCAAAAAAAAAGTGTGTACAGAAAGAGGAGACAGCAAGTACAAAGGCCCCAAGGCAGGTTCGCTATTCTCCTGGGAATGTCAGTCAGGCCTACCGTGCCTCAAGCATAGAAAACTTTAGGGAAGGGAACCAGGGAGATACCCAGGGACTGCGTCTTTCAGGGCCCTGTAAGTACAGTAAGAAGTTGGAATATTCTGAGTGCTGGGAAAGCCACCTACAGCCGCCAGTCTCTGGGGCCCGACCTACGTATTTTATAGATCATTTGGGTTGCTTCCAGGAGAACGGACTGTAGTAGGGCCAGAGTGAGAAAGGGGATCAATGATGGTATGGACTCTGCTCCCCTCCTCTCTTTCCACCCTCTCCAAGAGGCCAAAACAGAGTTGGGGTGTCAAATAATATTGGGTGATTCAAGCTGGGAGTGGTGGGCCACACCACTAATCCCAGCACTCAGAAGGCTGAGGCAGGAGGACTGCAGTGAGTTCAAGACCAGCCTAAACTACTTAGCAAGTCCCTGTCTCAAAACTCCAAGATTACTGGGTGACTCTTAGAACTGCTTGGGGCGACCATAGGTGTACACCGCGTTGGGTGAAGGAGGTGGGAACCCGAGGGACTGGAGGGCGCCCCTTTGGCCCCGCTGCCCTCTCCGGCCCTGCACTTTAGCCAAAGCTGGGCTCGACCCTGCAGCGCAGCGGCAGGAGTTAAAACAGCGTCGCCTACAGACTCGAGGGGTTAGGCGGAGACCCAGGTCCCAGCCGCCGCACCGAGCCG